ACTCCCCTGCAGCAGACTGGCTCTTGGGAATTGTGGGTTCCAGGCAGCCGTGTGGACCCAAGGACAGACATTCAAAGGGACATCAGCCATCCTTGGTGACAGGGGCCCCAAATTTGCATCTCTTCCCTTCCCTTAGGAAGGAGATGACCAGAAGCATCCTCTTCACAGACACAAGCACATTAGCAAACCCTATGAAAGTGGAATTTTCTAACAAAATAAACTTGCTTGTTTGGTCTGTTTTCTGTAACTTTTGCTAAATACTTTATACATTTTTAACGTTAAAAAGCTGTGTCTCCTGCCAGCATTCCTCACCCCGGTATGAATGTGTTTACTCCACATTGTATATCCTTCCATCCTCTGGCTGCCTAGATCAGTAAATAAAATCGATGTAATATAATTTATAAGTAACACTGTTGAAACTCTGATCCCAGTGGAGGCTGTAACCCACCCTTCCCTACTCCCAACCCCTCCTGGTCCCCCGTAATAGCATTTGTGTGTATTAATGCTAAAGAATTAAATGTTTAAAGAGTTTAAATTTTGAAGGCGTTTGCTATATATAATTGTCCTGCATTATTATAAAGAGTTTTCAAGAAGTTAAATCCTATCTCATTTTTTTCTTCGGCTCTGTGTGTGCTCTTGAGATGCTTAGATTTATCCCACGTAAAATAAACTGTCCCGAGACACTGGGTCCTGCTGGGCGACCCTTCTTCCTGGAGGGCTGTCAAATTCTCCTTTTTATGACTGGTTTCAGCAATCCTCTCAGGCTCTCAGGACTGGTGACGATTTTATTCCCGATGACTTAGCAGAGGGACAAAGGACACTCGGACGTTGATGCCCAGATGGATATTATGCTGCTAGTCCCAGCCCCTTCCACCTTTGGGACCCCTGACAACTGTTTCTTTTCTCATTCATTCGTTTGTTTATTCATTCACTAATCCTTGAGCATCTATTATATATACCAGACACTGCTCCTGATACTGGAAACACATCAGTGAATGAAACAGAGCATGCTCTCAGGGATCTTACATTCTAGCAGGGAGACAGACAAAAACAATAGACCTAGTAACTGCTTTATGCTCTGTGGGTCTGGTTGATATTGTGTGTCATGAAAAAAGAGAAATGGCATGGTGAGGACAGGTAAGTCGCAGTATTCAATAGAGTCGTTGGAGTGGCCTTGCTGAGCAGGTGATATTTGATCAAAGACAAGGAGACCTGGCAGGTCACTGGGGAAAAATGTTGTAGGCAGAAGGGACACCCAGATGTTTGAGGCCAATGTGTCTGGAACTGAGGGAGTGAGGAGGAGAGAACAGATGACCTTCTAGAAATGGTGGGGCAGGGCTGGTGCTGCCGATCACGGGTCTTTGACTTGGACTCTGAGGGAGTCAGGCAGCCATCATGCGTAGCCTGACTTGGTGGCTGTGGGGCTCTGTGCTATAGGGGAGCAAGAGCAGAGGCAGGGAGGCCTGTTAGGAGGGAGAGGCGACCCTGCCTGCAGGAAGTGGGTGCAGTGGAGGCTGGGAGAGTGGTCAGACTCTGGATGCACTTTGGAGATACAGCCAAGGTGATTTCTGGACAGATTGGAGTGAGCTGTGACAGCAAGAGGATGACGCCAAGGATTTCAGTCTGAGCAACCCAAAGGATGGATTGCCATTTTCTGTGACGAACAGCTGTGGGAGGAGGGTTCTTCCCCATTCTCCATCTTCCCTGTCACCTCCATACCTCCCTTTTCTCTGTCAACGCAGGCTCCTCTGCAGATGTTGGCTCCAGGCCAAGGGGTCATCCTGGCCTTCAGCTCGTAGCAGGAGAGGTAGAGGAATGGAGAAGGGGTGAGGTCTGGGCCCCAGCTACCAGCCAAGATGAAGCTCCTGCTGGAGGGACAAGGCCAGCCTCTGGGAAGCATCAGCCCCTTTCAGTTCAGGCAAGGCTGAGAGGATGAGACACAAGCTGAGATTCTCTGTCTGGAGGCAAGGCCTTCTCCCCAACATTCGGGAGAGTTTATGGCCCCAGCTCAGACTTAACAAATCCATTCACAATACATCATCTCCAACAACTTGTTTGGCATAAACTCTCCCTCTGATAGAAGATGTTTATGCAGGTTTTCAAACAAACCTCCAGGTCATGACCCCTCACTCTTAGCAGCATCAACACAGCTGCCTGCAATCCCCTCCTGCGGGGCCCTCCTGGGCACAGCAACCTGGAGAATGTGGACTATACCAGACTTCTTCCGACCCAACCCAGGTCCAGCTCCTTCCTCCTTGCCCCTGGAAAGGGCAGAAGAGACCAGCAGGCTCTGGTGCCTGCCTCCTAACCCAGGGACACATGTCTCCCTGACCAGGGCCTCTTTTGCTGTCCTGGCACCTCACTTCCTCACCTACGGACGTGGAGGTTCTTGACTTCTCAGCAGGGGCCTCCTTGAGAAAGGAAGAAACTGGAATGTGGAGAGACGTGCCCTGAGCTGGACCCTGGAAGCCCTGGGCTTTGCTTTCTTCTGGCACTGCCATTTAGCAGCCGTGTGACACGTGCCTTTTGGAGCCTCTGTGTCTCACCTGTAGCATCAGCCATACCTCGTCTTCGGGCTTGCTGTGATGGGTCTGCGACCCAGTGGCGACCCAGGAAGCACTTCTAGCCACCTCCCACTCATGTGTCAGAGCAAGGGGCTGAGGCCTCTGGCTCCACTCTCTTTCTGTCCCCCAGGATGCATCAGGGCTGCAAGGAAGCTCTGGAAGGGAATGTGATTCCAGGGTGTGTCCTGGGCTTGCTTGCTTGGTTTGTTTCCTATCCTGTGTGTGACTGCTCTTAAGAACATTGTTGCCTGCAGCAGGAGAGTGAAAGTCTAGAAGAAGAGAAAGGACTCTTTTAAAGAAATAACATTCTCTCACAAACTGATGGGGAAATCAGGAAGTTTACACACACACACACACCTTGTAACATTAAGGTTTCCTGAGAGACACTGGAACAGGCCAGATGTGGTGCCTCACACCTGTAATCCCAGTACTTTGGGAGACCGAGGCAGAAGGATTGCTTGAGCCCAAGAGTTTGAGACCAGCCTGGGAAACATAGCAAGACCTCATCTCTTAAAAAGGAAGGGAAGGGAAGGGAAGGGAAGGGAAAGGAAGGGAAGAGAAACAATGAAATAATAGTGGACAGGGAGGCAGAGGGGCTGGGAGGGATGGGTCAGCACCTAGGTGCCTGAACTTCTTGGTCCTTCCTGAGCAACATCAGGTGGGCCTGGCTGTGGGACCTGCCTTTCCCCTGCTGCTAGCCTGGTAGGAAGTAGGATCCAAACCCCAGCTGACCTGCCTGGAGACTGTGAGGTTTCTTCTTCATAATTCCCATCCCTGGGCAAAGAGAGGCAGCTCTCCCATCCCTGGTGGCAATGCTGTGGTTCGGGGACTGAGATGTCCTCCCACATTGTGCTTGCCTAAGCAAAGGGCACTGTTCTCCCTAGGGGTGACAGGAATTCAGGTGTGCAGCATACTCACTAGGGCTCTTCCTCATGTTCTAGACTCGTACCTGAGCTGACGGTGGGAATGCAAGACCTGCCTCTGCATACCTCCCTGTCTCCAGCCATTCGTTTATTCATCCAGTCACTCACTTGGCAAACGTGTTATTGCCCACTCACTCATGGCACCATGTTGGACTGCAAACAGAAACTCTGCAGGCTGCCACTGAGCCACAGATATATTGTGTTTGTCCTACACCATATTTTTTTAAAATTTTGAATTGCTAATGTTTAAAAGTGTGAAAATGTTAGTGATCGATCACAGAAACAAAGAACCGAATGTCACATGTTCTCACTCATAAGTGGGACCTGAACATCAATCACAATAGCACAAGGGAGGAATCGGCTGTCACGGGACACTGCCAAGGGCATGGGGCACATAACAACACCAAGGGTACCTAGTCCCAAGCCAGGGAAAGTGAGGACCAGATGGAGGCTCAAACGTCACCTGCCCATAGACTACTTATGTACCTAATCCTGATGTGTACCCTGATGTGTATCGATATAATAAAAATAAAGTTATAAATAGGTGCGTGTGAAAATGGCATCTAAAACTCTATTTCTGGATTTCTCTTGGATAACGGAAAAATCCCACCATCCCCTGTGACCACATTCACCGGAAGTTCCTCTGTGTGTTCTACAGACCTCACTTCTCCCTGCGGTTTGCAGCCCACCTGCCTCACTCCCTTGGTCTACCTGCTGGCCCCTGCAGGCAGTTTATCTTTGGATCCCTGTTGTTGATGAGTAATAACAAAAACTGATATGCATTTAGCCTTAATTATGTGCCAGGTTCTATTCTGAGACTGTTACACATGTTAACTCATTTTAGCCTCCCGATGACAATGAGTTCAACACTATTATACCCATTCGTTCCAGAAATAGTTACTGCAGGTGAGGGCCCAAGCCTGTCAGACTACTATTCTGGCAATGGAGATGCCATCGGGAATGACACAGACAAAATCCCTTCCTTCACGGAGGTTTTATTCTGTTGAGGACACAGATTGGGGCCTGCCGAGGGCGGCGAGGGTTGTGTTATTGTAAATAGAGTGGTCAGTATTGGCCTTGCTGAGAAGGTGACAGACAGCTAGTTAAGTGGCCATCCTGGGATTTGCATGCGGGCTGGTTTGAGCCCTTGTGTCCCTAACCACTGCATTCTAGGGCTCAATGTGAGAAGCCAGTCTTGCCCCAAGAGTTAGCACAGAAGACAAACAGGGAACATTGTTGTCCTTAGAAGGCTGGGGCTTGGACTGGGGAGGCCTTGGCCCAAGGCTTCAGCTCTGAAGGTTCCAATCTTCTGTCCTGTCCTTCCAGTATCTTCCCAGGAGGCCAAGATGAATTGACCGCCTGTCCTCGGCTCTTTATTTTAATCTCAGTAGAATTCTGGGAGCCCTCCCCACCCCCACCCCCCGCCCCCGACACACGCACACAAAGCTCCCCAGCTCCTCCTCCTTCCAAGGACTGGGAAGAACTGGTCGCAAATCCTCCTAATACGCCAGCATCTCCGTCTCCATCTCATACCAGCACTGAGCCCCAGCAGCCAGGGCACCACGCACATCCCACCCACCCAGCGACTGCCCAGCCGCTGCCCACTCTCCCTCACCCATGGGGAACAGCAGAAGCGGGGCCCTGTCCAAGGAGATCCTGGAGGAGCTGCAACTGAACACCAAGTTCTCAGAGGAGGAGCTGTGCACCTGGTACCAGACCTTCCTGAAGGAGTGCCCCAGCGGCCGCATCACCCAGCAGCAGTTCCAGGGCATCTACGCCAAGTTCTTCCCTGATGCCGACCCCAAGGCCTATGCCCAGCATGTGTTCCGCAGCTTCGATGCCAACAGTGATGGCACCCTGGACTTCAAGGAGTATGTCATCGCCCTGCACATGACCAGCGCAGGAAAGACCACCCAGAAGCTGGAGTGGGCCTTCTCCCTCTACGACGTGGATGGCAACGGAACCATCAGCAAGAATGAAGTGCTTGAGATCGTCATGGTCAGTCTCTCCCCTCTCCCCTTCGGGCTGGGTAGGACCAGGGTCTCTGGCGCCCAGGATACCCTGCTGCTGAGGCAGAAGGAGCGGGGTGGCGGGGGGTAGTTTCAGGCCATCAACCCTGAGAGCATGGTAAAAAAGGATCTCCAAGATGTCAGCATTAGTGAGAGCTGGGTACACGCCCACAGCTTCTTTTTCTTTTTACAGAAGAATCTGGGTGTTTCCTAATACAATCATGTGCTGCATGATGGCGTTTTGGGCAACAGCGGAACACATGGTGGTCCCATAAGATTGTAGTGGAGCTAAAAAATTCATAGTGATGTCATAGGGCAGTTATTTTATTTTTTAAAACAGTTTTAGTGTACTCTAAGTGTCCAGTATCTATAAAGTCTATAGTAGTGCACAGGAATGTCTCAGGCCTTCACATTCGCTCACCACTGACTCACTCACTTGCTCATTGGAACAATTGCAGTCCCGCAAGCTCCGTTCGTGGTAAGGCCCCTGTAGAGGGGTACCATTTTTTATCTTTTATGCCATATGTTTGCAGTATGGTTTCTATGTCTAGATACAAAATCCCTTCCATTGTGTTACAACTGCCTACGGTTTTCTGTAAAGTCACATGCTGCACAGGTTTGTAGCCGAGGAGTGATGGACTAGACCATACAGCCTGGGTGCATAGTAGGTAGTACCATCTTGGTTTATAGGAGTACCCTGTGAAGTTCGCACAGTGAACTCGCTTGATGATACATTTCTCAGAACATATTCCCAACTTGAAGTGGGCATGATTGTATTTACAGTTTTTGTTTCCTTCCCTCCTTCCTTTATTATAAGCTTCTTCAAAAATTTCAGCAACACACATTCAAATGTTGTCATTATTAATTCTGAACATACAGTATACTTCAAACATAAAGTAGAAAGAGATCAGAGTTGGGGGGCACGAGCTAGTCCTGATATTCTCCCTAACATCGGGCAGGTCACTGCACCCGTGAGCCTCATAATCTAAGTTTGTCGCTGCGTCCTCGGCTCCTCATGGCTTCCCTGAGAGAACACACGCTTCCACCCGCTTTCCCACACACTTCTACCTGCTTTCCAACATGTTTTCCTCTGTCCTTCTTGCCCTCCTGCCAGGCCCTTTGTTGTAATTATCTTAGGTGCCTTGAAAATCATTTTTATCTAATACATAAGTGATTCATGAAATTTAGAATTTTATATAAGAGAAAATAAAAATTACCTTTAATTCCTGCATCCAGAGAAAACTTCTCTTAACAAAGGGGTATATATCTTTTCCAGTATTTTCTCTATATTACCTTAAGCAATTTTAGAGCTATGACATATTCACATATTATTTTTATCATACATTTTTCAGCGACCCTTTTATTGTGTTTTTCATATTCTTTTTAAACATTAATAATTGCCTAGAATTCTATCTTTTGGAAATGCTATAAGTTTTTTTTTAACATTCTTTTATTTTTTGACACTAGGGTGTTTCCATTTATTTCCTATTAGACCAGTTCTAGTTTCCTTTATTTAATGTTTTTTTACTTATTCTTTAAAAATTTCCCTACCTCATGTCAAGTGCTTTGCTTTTCTAATTCCATTCCTGAGATTAAGGGGAATGTTGCTCATATTTTATATAATTATTGTGCATTTGTAATGGTGCTTTCACTTTCTGAGTTCTTCCATTCTTATTGGGAGAAACTGTGAATAAAATAGCAAAGCATATAGCTTGTGGTCATGGGCTTATCCTCAGTGCTCAGCTTGGGCCTCCTGTCAAGAGTAGGCGTATGTCACTCTCGTTGTTATCTTGGGATAGCCTGCAGAGCAAGGTCGCCTGAGCTGGCTGTGGGGTCTCTGGGTGGCCTGGGATAGGGACCAAGTTTTCAGAGCTATGTTAAGGATGCTGGGCCCAGAAGACAAGCTGGTGCTTCTTGAATAAAAAGAGGAAGGGGAGGAGAGGGTAAGGAGGGAAGGAAAGAGGGAAGATAGGCGGGAAGGAGGATGGAAGAAAAAGAGGAGGGAGGAAAAGGAAAGAAGGAGAGACAGAAAGAAAGGAAAGGGGCCAGGTGCAGTAGCTCACACCTATAATCCTAGCAACTTGGTAGGCCTATGTGAGAGGATTACTTGAGCCTAGGAGTTCAAGACCAGCTTGGGCAACATAGCAAGACATTGTCTCTACAGAAAAGTTAAACATTAGCTGGGCATGGTGGTGCATGCCTATAAGTCCTAGCTACTTGGAAGGCTGGTGGGAGGATTGCCTGAACCCAGGAGGTTGAGGCTTTGATGAGCCACGATCATGCCATTGCACTCCAACCTGGCCAACAGAGTGATGAGACTCCAACTAAAAAAAGAAGGAGGAGGAGAAGGAGAAGAAAAAGAAGAAAGGAAAGAGATGGAGGGAAAAGGGCATCAACAGCTGAACTGTGCAAAGTGGCAGAGGGCTCTGCTGTTCACCAGATCACAAGGCCATGGGCAGAGAACTGGCCTGGGAGTCAGAAGTCAAGTGTTCTAGTCCCAGCCTTGACACCTACTAGCTGTGTCACTGTGGGAAAACCATGTAACCTCACTGGGCCCATGGCGAAAATTTAATGATTTTTGCGGCCTTTCCCATGGCCCTAAAGTTCTGTCCCTCCTACTTTCCCTCTCTCCAAGCATTGAAAGTAGGTTGGGCAGGCAGTCAGTTACTCCCAGCATTTAGTCAACATGTCTGCACAAGATGCCCAGAGCCACCTCCATTTGCTCCACCTCGGAGCTCTAAGTGCTGCCAGAGAGACTATTGCCCTGAGCTTCTGGGTTTGATCTCCTTGTTCCTTTTGTTATAGCACCAAGGAGCTGACAGGGACTTCTCAAAGCTGTTGACCTTCCCTCTCAGCTAATTTCACAGGCTTCACTGCCCCTGCCTTCCTGCTCTCAGATGTCTTCAGGGAGGCAGAAGGCTCTGGCCTACACTCCAAGCCTGCCCCAATGCCTTGAGGGTGCCCTCTGGACCTGGCCAGCTCTAGTGTTTATGAGCTCATAGAATCCTAGAAACTTGGATCTGGAAGAATGCATGGAGCTACCTTGTACCTTTTCCTGGTTTCCCAAGGCTAGCGTTGCACACCCGACTTCTTTATTAAAGAGGAGAGGGAGGTGAGAAGGATCCTTGAGCCCAAAGCTAAGCTTTTCTCTGGCTCCCTCCCTGAGCAGGTTAAAACAGGGGCTTCCTGTGCGCTGGGAAGACCTTTGGGAAGTTCTTGTTGATGCCTCCTCCCTCTTTCCAGCCTCATCCAATGTTCTTCAAGGCAATTCAGTGATAAGAAGGTGAGCAGTCTATGACATAACCCAAGGATGCCAGTTCTAGAACCAAACAGCCTGGTTTAGAATCTTTGCTTTTCTACCTCCAGCTAGGTGACTCTCTGCAAGTTGGTTGTCTCAGTTTCTTTATCTGTAAAATGGGACCAATAATACCTACATTATAAGGGTATTGTGAAGATCAAATGTAAAAATGTTTAGAAAAGTGGCATATATTAAGTGCTCAACAAATGTTAGCCATTATTTCCACAAGGCAGTCCAACTGGGCAACCATGTTACCATATGGACCTGGAAGAAGATGTTTACTATTCTAAAACCTCTGGACAGTAGGGTCTGAGGTAGTGATTCTCAAACTCTAACCTCAGGGCTGCCATGAGATTTTCATCAGGAAGCCTGTCATTATTTTCAATTTTGTAATAAATGAAAGTATTATGTCTACATGGTCAGAAAATTTAAAAAATACAGAGAAGTGCAAAATAAGAAGTGAAAGCCTTCTTTGCCCCTTCCCCACGTTCCCTGTCCCTTATTAGTATCTTAAAAATACAAATGCCCAGGCTCCACCCCCAGAAAAAAAAATTTTTTTGTCAGTATCTCACTGTGTTGTCCAGGTCGGACAGCAGTGGCATGGTCATGCCTTACTTACCACAGCCTCCATCTCCTGGGCTCAAGAGATCCTTCCACCTCAGCCTCCCAAGAAACTGGGACTGCAGCACATGCCACCATGCCTGTCTAACTTTTTTTAAAAATAAAGACAAGGTTTTCCCATGTTGCCTAGGCTAGTCTCGAGCTCTGGGGCTCAAGCAATCCTTTTTCCTTAGCTTCCCAAAGTGTTCGAATTTCAGGCATGAGCCACCATGACCGGCTTCCCCCAGGAATTTTGAATCAGTAGATGAGCATCTTGTTAAAACCACTGTGTTAGAGGACGCCTGTTCCCCTAGACTGTCTGGGTACTGAGAGAGGTGTGCTGTGATGGAGGGGACCCAAAGTCCCCCGTGTGTTTTCCATAATGGCTGTGCCAATTTACATTCCCACTACGGTATGCCAAGGTTCTCTTTTGCCTACACCTGTTCCAACATCTGTCATCTCTTGTCTTTTGTATGACAGCCAGTCTAACAGGTGTGAGGTGATGGCTTGTTGTGGTTTTGATCTGCATTTCTCTGATGATTCGTGATGCTGAGCACCTTTTCATGTCCCTATTGGTCATTTGTATGCCTTCTTTGGAGAAATGTGTTTGCAGGTCCTTTGCCCGTGTTTCCATGGGGTTATTTGTTCTTTTGCTATTGAGTTTTAGGAGTTCCTCATACATCTTGGACATTAACCTTTTATCAGATGTATGGCTTGCAAATGTTTTCCCCCTTCCCATGAGCTCCTTTCTCATTTTGTTGTTTTCTCTGCTTGTGCAGAAGCTCTTTAGTTTGATGTAATCCCACTTACACGGTTTTGCTTTTATTGCCTATGTTTTCCATGTCATATCCAAAAGCTCACTATCAAAATCAGTGTCAAGATGCTTTCCTCCTGTGTTTTCTTCTGGGAATTTTAAAGTCTTTGGACTTACATTTAAGTCTTTAATCCCTTTTGAGTGGATTTTTTTGTATGGTGTAATGTATTTTTGTGCATTTTCCCAGCATTGCCAGCCCCTTATGGTTCCTTCTAACAAGTTCTTTCTCTTGATTTGGTACAGGCTATTTTCAAAATGATCAAGCCTGAGGATGTGAAGTACCTTGCAGATGATGAAAACACGCCCGAAAAGCGAGCTGAGAAGATCTGGAAATTCTTTGGAAAGAAAGATGATGGTGATTTTTTTTTTTCCTTCATTGCTTCTGATTTTACAGGCTTGGGCTGTTTCCTGGGGACCTCTGCAAGTTTTACTCCTCTGAGTCACAGTGCCCAGGCAGGACTGGGACACCACATTTTGTCATGCATTTCCAGAGCCATCCGAAGGGTCTAAGTGGGGAATGGACATCGGGTTCAGCAGGGGCCAACACTGAACTCACGTGACCTGAAAGCGAGCACCTCCTAAAATACTATGCCCACGCACTTCACTGGCCTTACCCTAGTCCAGCCCTGACTGGCACTGCTTCTTTGAGCACCCTCTCCTCATTTGACCCTGGCCGCTCAAGATGTCCTCCTTTGGCACTTCACCCCATTGGCTCTTTAATTCCCTCTGTACGTCACTCGGGGTCTGTTCATGTGTTGAGTCCTGTGTCCTGCTGCTTGCTAATCTGAAAACGGATCCGAGTGAACATTCCAAGAGGGGATGGTGTTAGAGGGCTGATGTGTTACTCCTGCAGGTGATGTGGGTGTGTGTGTTTCCACAGCCTATTTGCAAACAACGCCTCACAGCAAAGTTGGGCTCTGACAGTGAAAGTTTCAAGTTCTGTGTGAGGCTGGTGGAACAGCTCACACTTTAAAACCCAAATTTTACCACCCAGACTTGTGCAGAGAACCATCCTGGATCCTGACCCAGAAAAGATTAATCAAAAGGCCCAGAGCATAAGCCAGTGGAAATCAAATTCAGTTTAGCAAAGCTCTGTTGAGTACCTATTATATGCTAGGTACTATGAACATACACCCATGAGCAGAAGGGAGCGTCTGTCTTATTCTAGAGTTATTTCTATATCTTCCCTACCAGATCAAGTTTCCTGGGGGAAGATTTTTCTCTCCTGGGGAAAGATTTTTCTCTCTCTCTCATCTATTGTACACCCCAACTCTACTCCCTGCAATGGCTTCGACCCCAAGCATGATGGCATCTGGGCTCAGAAACATGCATTTAACTGGATAGATATGAATACAGTAGGCCACCTGGTTAAAAAAAAAGTATATATATATATTTGCCTGGCTGCAGCAAAGCTGTCTCTCAGTCCTGATCCCAAATGAGAAGATAGATCAGATCAGGGAATGTGGGGATGGATATATAGGAAGGATTCACAGTTGAGTAGTCAGTTGGGAGTCATGGGGCTGCCTGTGTGCTGTGGGGGCCAAAGAGACCTCTCTGCAAGCTATGCTCCCCCCATGCATTCCATTGGAGAACACCCCTCTCACTCCCTACTCCCCAGGGAGAACATCATGCCTGCTTCTCAACTGAGACTCTAGAGCTGGCACACAGGTCATTTTGCTTTGCTCGGGCCCCCAGACGTTCCCCCAGAACTTGAGGCTTGACACTTGCGATGATATTGAACATAATAATAATAATAATTCTTATTTATTGTTAAATAAATTATGAAATATTTAACAACCAGCAAGGCAGGGATCTCCATCATCAGAAGGGACACACAGCACAAGATTGGTCTCTTAGTGACCCCCTGCAGTGCCAGTCATTAACCTTTACTTGCAGGTTCATGGTAAAGTCCAAAGGGAGGAGTTGGATATCTGGATCAGGGTGAGGGTGCCCTCGGGGACACTGAGTAGTCAGTATTTTCATAATAGATACATTCATACTGGGGATGCTGGCTGGATGTCAGCCTCATTGCAGCTTGATTGGCTATCAGTCCTGACTGGTGTTTTTGTTTGTTTGTTTTTCCCAATGCACAGATAAACTTACAGAGAAAGAATTCATTGAGGGGACCCTGGGCAATACGGAAATTCTGCGACTGATCCAATTTGAGCCTCAAAAAGTGAAGGATAGGCTAAAGGAAAAGAAACCCTGATGCCAACTGCTCAGCTCTCCTCCCTCCGCCCACCATTCACACAACACCCGTGAGTGTACCTCTCTCTCTCACACATACACGTACACACAACCCAGGCCAAGAATGTGCGTACACACACACACTCATGTACCCACACCCCAGAACCACTGTGCAGCTCCCTGCCAAACAGAAGCGTCTTTAACAACCCACTGGTTCCTTCTTCCCTCAGATCTTCAGTGCCCCTCCCATCACACCCTGTCCTCTCCCCTCCCTCTGCCCCACCAGCCCCATGGCCCCATGCTAATCCTGGGATTAGGTCGTAGGCGTCCTAAATGTCATCCCTGTGTAAGCTCCTTATGCAGTGCTGGGTAAGCAGGTTCCAATAAACGCAAGAGGAGCTGGACACGCAGCTGGTTGGTCATTCTTCAACTGCAAAAGGAAATGATTTCTGTCGGCCACACCTCAAAGACAAGGACATGCTGCGATGGCAGTGCTGGGCCAGGGTGCTGAGCCTGTGGTGCCAAATGGGCCTGACGCAGTCCTGCTCTCATAGAGCTCACAGGCTAGAGGGAATGATGGACCTGGAAGGAGCCGCGACCAGTGGCCAAGATTACCACGGCGACGCGTAGAGCACTGGGGATAGACATAACAGGAGGGGCTGCCTTGTCAGGGAAGGTCAGGGATGACATTCTTGATGAAGAGACATTTTGGTTATTTGTGTGTCTATTTGTTTATTTATTCAGGAATTGCATTCCTGATGAAGGGACATTTTGGTTATTTATTTATTTAGTTAGTTAGTTAGTTAGTTAAATGTGGGTCTCATTCTGTCACCCAGGCTGAAGTGCAGTGAATGGTACAATCATAGCTCACTACAGCCTCAGCCTCCTGGGCTCAGGAGATCCTTCTGACTCAGCCTCCTGTATAGCTGGGGCTACAGACATGCATCACCATGCCGAGCTAATTCGTGTGTGTGTGTGTGTGTGTGTGTGTGTGTGTGTGTGTGTGTGTGTGTGTGTGTGTTTCTAGAGATGGGGGTGTCACTATGTTGCCTAGGCTGGTCTCAAATTCCTGGGCTCAAGCCATCCTCCCACCTTGACCTCTCAACGTGCTGGGAATACAGTGGTGAGCTACTGAGCCCAGCTGAGAGGACATTTAAATTCAGACCCAGTGGAATGTGGTGGGGAACAGGGGAATGGGGCAGCTCTAGTCTCAGACAGAGGGCAGCAGACACATAACTGCTGAGGCAGGAAGAAGCATCTCAACTTCCAGAACCATGAGAAGGCCAAGTTGGCAGCAGGGTAGTGGGAGAGGGAGTACGAACTGTGAACTGAGCCTAATAGAAAGGTGGAGGCCAGGCCACACAAGGCCTTTCTTGCAGCCCATGGTAAGCATTTGGGGTATCACCATGGGGGAAGTAGTTTCTGTTCATCAGAGAAACCCCTAGCAGGCTAAAATAAGTCAGAGGGGCAAAGACTAGGGGAGGGAGCCTGAAGATTAAGCTTTTTCAGGCACTTGGGTGACCTGGGCCAGGGGACCGGCAGTGGGATGGGGGGGAACTGGACATAGGAAGGACACATTTAGGGGGTAAAATCCACCTGACTGTCTGTGGGGGCAGGAGGAGCAAGGAGCAAGGATGGCAGTCTGTTCTGTGGCTTGGGTGCGGGTGAATAGTGATGCCATTTACCTAGATGGAAAACGAGAGCGCTGCTGATTTCAGGGGACCGTGGTGAGTTCAGCTTCAATATGGCGAGTAGGGGAGACAGAATCTTCAATGTCCCTGAGGCCCCTCATTTTAGAAAGGACAGGGAGGCCCGTGACAGGAAGCATTTTGCCCAGGGACGGCGAGATGATAAGCCGAGGTTAGATGAGGGTTACTTACTGGCCTTCGCTGCCTTCTCAAAATTCCAGGACCTTCGACACCCATGAGTTCCATCAGTGGGTTCTTTAAGATCCCTGGATTCATTGCTGTGAAGACCTATTTATTCTTCAGCGTGAGTTCCAAGATGAGGTCAGAATAATATACTCATGTCCTGGACCTTTGACTGACCTATGTGCACCCTCCTGAGGCCAGAGAGTCTCAGGGGTGTTGCTGGTATTGTGAGTGATTCCCCCTCACCACCTCCCCAGCTTTAGTTGCAGTGATGGAACAATCACCACAGTCAGAGAGCACTCCTCTTTGTGGAGAGTGAACATGTGAATCAACGAATGAGCCAGGCATCATGCTAGATTCTCTGCTGGCGTGATTTCATGGATGGTGGCATTATTATCTCCATGAGATAGATGAGAAAACTGAGACCAGGAAGTGAGAGTAGGATTTGGTACTTAAACTGAGTCCCCTTGATTACACCAGGCTGCCCAGTAGTTTTGACCTGGACACAATAAGACAGAGAATTCTAGGATCACACATTGTCGGAGCTGGAAGACGGAGGGAGGCTACACAGCATCTAGTCCAGTGGTTTGGGGAGAAGGAGGGTTATAATTGTTATTATTATTTTGAGTTGGAATCTCACTCTGTTGCCCAGGCTGAAGTGCAGCGGCACGCTCACGGCTACCCCAGCGCCGACCTGCCGGACTCCGGCAATCCTTCTGCCTCCACCTTCCAAGTAGCCAGAACTACAGGTGTGTACTACCACGCCCAGCTAATTTTTGATTTATTGTAGAGATGAGGTCTGACCAAGTTGCTCAGGCTGGTCTCAAACCCGTGGGCTCAGGCAATCCACTCACCTTGGCCTCCCAAAGTGCTGGGATTACAGGCTGAGCCACTGAGCCCAGCCAAGGAAGGTTATTATTAAAATCTTCTGCCCAAGACACTCCTCTAGTGTAGACAGAGTGAACCACACAGGAGCCAGCTCAGGGGGAGATCAAGGACCTGTGTGTCCAGCCCAGAGTGTCTAGGATATAACTTTAGGGCTCAATGCCTTACTCCAGTGCTCTTTCTATCCCCCTCCATGAATGGACCTGGGTGCTTGGGATATGAAGCAGGGGGCTTTTCACTTACCCCTGAGGTCAGGGTATCATTGTCATGTGTCTAAATGGACAGACACTGCGTAACCAAGTCCTTGATCTGTAGTTCAATGAAAGACATAAGAAGCCTCCAGAAACCAGTGGACAACCAAAGAACAATCACCTAATTAGCACCTCTCTTATTAGCTTAGGGTAGAAGGGGATTGTACTGCTCTATGACACTCTATAGGAAATATGTGGAGAGAACCTGGGAGCAGCATCAAGTTCAACTTGGCAGAAGAGAAGAGAAGAAAGGAGAGCTGGTGATGAGCTATGTCATCGAGACTCTTCCAGATGCAAAGGACAGAAGACACAGCACAAATTATTGTGGCACAAATAGAAATGTGTTGGCTCTTATAACTGAAATTCTAGGAGAAGAGCTGGTTTCAGGACTGGCTTAATTCAAGGGCACCAACAATATCTCTGTGTTTATTTCTCTCTCTCTCCTTGTTCTGCTTTCTGCTGTCACTGCCATTCTAAGACAAGCTCTCCCCAGACTGGTGAGACGGTCAACTGCAGATCCAGGCTGCCTTCCTCAGGGTTCCAATTTCAGCAGAAAAGAGAAAATGTCTTCTATTGGGAGTCCCGGCCATATGGTTGGCTATACGCCCACTCCTGACTCAACATCTGGTGCCAGGAGGACTCCGCTCAGCCAAGCAGATTTTTATGCCCATTCCTAAGCTGAGGATGGAGTTGAGACAACTCAAATTTTATGGACTAAGAGTAGGAGATGTATGGTTCACAAATTGGGGTGCTAAAGGAAAGGTGAATTCTAAAACTAGATGTCCACTATAGACACCTTGGAGAAGTCATTTTACATCTCTGAATTCCTGTTTCCTCATGTACGTGTAAACTCAAGGGCAGAAATGGGTTTCATTAAGAACAATATGAAAACAGCCCCAGGCCCTGTTGCCACCTGCTCAAATAGGATCTCAGCCCCTTGTGCCACATTCCTTGGGCATTTTTTCTTAGCAACCTCAGGAAGTGTCTCCCACAGAGTCACCAGTAAGGTCCTTTGGTGTCAGGCAAGGCTACAGTGGTCCTGATGTGCCCAAGCTGTGTGCTGATCTGCTGGGGAGCCCTCTAGGTTAGAGTCTGTGAGAATGGCCCCATGGGAGGTGACAGGTGACAGGAAAGAGATTTTGTCATTGCCTCCTAGAAAACATTTTTCTAACTTTTGTCTGGAGCTTGTCTTCTCTCACCAGGCTCAGACACTGCCCATGGTGCCAGGTGGGGACAGACACCATGCTGCTGTTCACTCTACCCCCATTTCTGTCCTGTAGTGGTTACACAGTTTAACAGAGAAGTCCACATAGGTCTGTGTTCTAGGCTCCTAGGCTCCCACAGGCTGGGCACAGTGGCTCAGGCCTGTATCCTAGCACTTTGGGAAGTCAAGGTGAGAGGATTGCCTGAGCCCACGGGTTTGAGAACAGCCTGGGCAATTTGGCAAGACCTCATCTCTACAATAAATCAAAAAATTAACTGGGCGTAGTAGCGCTCAATAATTATTGGAAGGCTGGATCGTTGAGCCCAGCAGGTCAATGCTGGAGTGACCATGAGTGTGCCACTGCACTCCAGCCTGGGTGACCACATGAGACTCCAACTCAAAAAAAAACAAAAAACAAAAAAGCCCCACAAAACTGGGCCGACCACATCTACACTGACTATCATTTAGAGTTGTGAGAATCAATTGAGTCTGTCCTTACAGAAGAATTTCTGAGCTCTAAATGCTACATGGGTGAAAGACTCAGTTTATTTGGACTTCAGCAAAGTCTTTTCAGTTTCCAGAGGAGGCTTCATCTCCTTCCCCTCTGCCTTATCCAGTGTTCTCAACTTTGGTCACATACTAAAGCCATTCAGGTGACTTTGACACCAAAAGCACAGGCACCAAAATTAAAAATTAAAAAAGCAAATAAATTGGGCTTCATCAAAATTTAAAATTTTTATGCAGAAGAGGGGACTAGCAAGACAGTAAAAAAAAAACCACAGAATGAAAAAAGTTAGCAAATAATATATCTGATAATGTATTAATATCCAGAATATATAAAGAACTCTTACAACTCAACAACAAAAAACAAACAATCCAGTTTAAAAATAGGCTGAGACTTGAATAGACATTTTTTCCTAAAGAAGACATACAAATGACCAATAAGTAAGCACATAAAGATGCTCAACATCATTAGTCATTAAGGAAATACAAATCAAAAACATAATGAGATACCATTTCACAGCCATTAGGATGGCTATTATCCAAAAAATGGAAAATAAATGTTGGCAAGGACATGGAGAAATTGGAAACCACTTGCATTGCTGGCGGGAATACAAAATGGCACAGCTGCTGTGGAAAATATAGAATCACCATATGCTTTAGCAGTTCCACTTCTGGGTATACTCAAAAATTGGGAAGCAGAAACTAAAACAGATATTTATACACTATCCATAACAGTGTTGTTCACAATAGTCCAAGGTGGAAACCACCCAAGTGGCTATCAATGGATGAATGGATAAACAAAATGGGGTTCATCCATACAATGGAATATTATTCAGCATTAAAAGGAAAGAAAGCCAGGCTCGGCGGCTCAGCCTGTCATCCCGCGCCTTTGGGAGGCTGAGGGGAGTGGATTGCCTGAGCTCGCGGGTTCGAGACCCGCCTGGGCAGCGAGACCTCATCTCTACAACAAATCAAAAAAATCAGCCGGGCGTGGTAGCGCACGCCTGTAATTCCGGCTACTCGGAAGGCTGAGGCGGAAGGATCGCCGGAGCCCGGCAGGTCGAGGCTGCGGTGGCCGGGAGCGGCCACTGCACTCCAGTCTGGGCGACAGAGTGAGACTCCGACTCAAAAAAAAAAAAAAAAAAAGGAAAGAAATTCCGACCCATGCTGCAACATGGATGATCCTGGAAGACATTATGCTAAGTGAAATAACCCAATCACAAAAGGACAGATAGTGTATGATTTCACTTATTGATGTATCTAGAATAAGTGAATTCACAGAGACACAAAGTAGAATAGATGTTACCAGGGGCTGGGGAAGGGCGGAGGGAGGAACAGGAGGTTATTGTTTAATGGGCACAAAGTTTTTGTTTGGGACAATGAAGCAGTTCTGAAGATGGATGGTGATGATGGTCGTACAACAACGTGAATGCACTTAATGCCACTGAACTGTCCACTTAAAATGGTGAATTTTATGTTATATCTATTTTACCATGATTTTTAAAAAATCACTCAGGAACTTATCAAAATACCAATTCTCATTTCATTTGGACCAATTCAATCACAATCTCTGGGGTCAGACCCTGTTATTGATCTTTTTAAAAAGGCTCCCTAGGGACTGTAATGGTGGGAACCTTCAAAGCAGCAAGCACGTTGAATGATTAAGGGGTCCTCTAGAAAAGAAGAGACACTGTCCTTCCACCTTTTTGACCTCTGACCTCTGCTTCTGCCCCCTCCCACTCTGCCCACTCCCCTCGTCCCTAAGATCAAATTTAAGACAATGGGTCACTCAGGTCCCTGGCTAAATGCCACAGTCCTTTTTTTCACTTCTGGCCAGGAACAGTGCACTAGATTCTTCAGGAGTGGGAAAAACTGTCACCTCCAGTGAGAAACAAAAGTAAAAGAATTGACAAAATGCAAATCAAATGAAATAAACATGTTTTAATCGTCAGCAGGACAAGAGCAAGCAGTGTGTGTAGAGTACCCCCTTTGTGGAGTGAAGGATGGAGAACATATTGACGAATGCTTTGAAAAGAATATTTCTCCTGTCAGTGGCAAGATCCTGAATCACTTACTCCTGGCAGTCTCATTCGATGTATGTGTGCTGAGCATCTATCCTGGCCCGGCACAGTGCTGAGCACCTGCTAGGAATATGAGACGGCTCAGCTTTCTAGGAATTAATTAGTTGATGAGCCAAGGCAGAGACATTTACAGAAAGGAGAAAAATACAAGGACATATATCTTAATAATTGAACTAGGGATAATCTGGACACCAAAAAATAAGCCCTTGCTTCCTAACACTCTTGCTTCCAATCACATCCTGCAAACCAGGACTGGGAGTACTGGTGAGACACTCACCTCCATGTACACTATAAGGGGCAACACACGGGCCCGTAGTCAAGATAAATAATATTTTAATGCAATCATTTAAAAATCAAAATTAACCTTAAAAAGTTCCCGCCCGATGAGCACGACATCAACATGGCAGGAGTTGGCCTCGCTGGCCTCACCCTTATCCTGCTCCTATTTCCAATAAAATGGTACGTCTATAAATGACCTGTGTGCTACTTTTGAATTTGATTTTTGGAGAATATCACATTCAAATGTGATTGATTTTGGTCACTGAGTTTTTTAGAGGCGAGTGCCTCAGTTGCTTTACCCAAGTCCTGGTCCTGCTGCAAAGTGTCCTTGAAAAGAGAATTGCCAGTAAAAGACAAGATGTGCGACTCCATTTGAATTTCAGATAAAATAGGTCCTGCGGGATAAACTTAAACAAGAAGATTATTTGTTTTTCTGAAACTCAAATTTAATTGGATATCATGTGTTTTTTATTTGCTAAATATGACAGCCCCACTTGGGAAGTATCATATTGACACCCTTTAAGATAAGGCGGGGCAACCCTTTCGGGTCTCCTCCCACTGTGGGAGCTTTTCTGTCCTCTCAATAAATCCTGCTTTAAAAAAAAAAAGATAAGGTGGTATAGGCCAGTGTAGTGACTCCCAGCATTTTAGAGGCTGAGGCAGGAGTACTGCTTGAGCCCAGGAGTTAGAGTCAAACCTGTACAATATAGTGAGGCCTCATCTCAAAAAAAAAAAAAAAGCCAGGTGTGGTGGTGCATGCCTGTAGTCCCACCTACTTGGGAATCTGAGGCTGAAGGATCACCCAAGCACAGGAGGTTGGAGCTACAATGAGCTGTAATTGTGCTACTGTACTCCAGCCTGGGGATCAGGGTGAGACCCTTACTCAATTAAAAAAAAACAAAGGTAGTATTTAATCTCACAGCAACATTCTCCACCCACATACACATGCATTTTACTCACTATGAAAGTGACACCCTGGACATTAACACAGTTTTCACAGGATGTTCCTCTCTTGACCCTTCCATCATTCTCTTGCCTTATACTTTCAGTCATTGAACCTGACTCCAATTGCCTGAGCCCTCCTCAGCCTCCATAGGTCATGAGTCAGATCTCCCTTTGGAAGGATGAATCCCATGTCCAGTCCATGCAGAGCCCTGAGTCTCTCAGCGCCACCCTGGGCATGTCTAGATTCAGCCAGAGTTCTATTGTTTTACCTGTGCCCCTCCTGTTTTCAGCATCCATTCCACTTTGGGCAGTAAAATTCTTACCAGCAGGGATATAGGTCATGGTAAACCTCCTGGAAGAGGAGGTAGGATGATCAATATATCAATGTCAACCAAAAATGGCAGGGGCATTTTTTGCCCTGAGGCATGGTAGAGTAAGTCAGGCTTGTAGAAGCCAAGCTCGGCAAGGCAGATGTAACCAGAAAGGAGAGGAAAGAACAAAGAATGACATTCAGAGGGTCCCCGGGAGCTGGGGCCAATCTGCAGAGGAAGGATAGGGTTGTCACAAATCAAACAGAACTTCTTCTGACCATGACCAGAGAATTAAGCTGGAGAGAGAAAAGCAAGACTCAGCAGAAGAAGAGCGGAGAGGCAGGAGAGAAGTAGGGTTCTGGTGGGTGACACGGGGTTACACACTGTCTGAGGAGGACAGGCACATCACAATTGAGCTAGGAATGCAGGCGGCCTCTCGCATCATCCTGCCATGGGCCATGTCAGGGGACATCTACCCTGCCCAGTGTTTCCCAAGGTAAGTTTGCATCAGAATTAGCGAGATGCTTATTAAACAGTTCCACATCCTGGCCATTATCCCAGACACACTCTCTCAGAATCTTGGCCCTGGTGCTAGGATTCTGCATTTAAAGTGCTTCCCAAGTGGTTTGTATGCACCATAAACCCAACCTCAGATGGAAACCGTGTACCATGAGGGATAAAGGAATAGATATTGGCTGACTTCTATGTAACTGGAAACCTTTCCTCATGGTGGGGCTCCATTCCTCATAAAGTAGGGCTCGTTTGAATTTAGGGCCAGGCTCCAGGGTCATTCTGGAAAATACACCGGTGGGGGTTATTGGGATGACAAGGGCAGGCAGAAGCTGTGAGCATTCCACAGCCTCTTTTATACAGAACTGAAGAATTTTGAGATCGACTTCTTGTCAGAGCGGCATGGTGCATGGGAAGAGAAGGATTGTGTGCTCAGCAACAATCATTTGCCTTCTCCTTCCTTGACCCTCTCAGGAGTCCCCAGGAGCAGAGCCAGAGCAGTGGGCCTCTGCCCTTAGATCTCACTCTCTTCCAGAATCTCCTCCATGGTGTTGGCCAGGGTGACGTCTCCCTCGCTGCACTCAGACAGGCTGCTGCCCCGGGGCCAGGGTGCATGCCCCTGGTGGGGCCGGGTGCCCAGCTCCCCAAGACCCCGCATGGCCAGGCGCAAGAGTTGCTCACTGTTAAGTGAGGGCTGCAGCTTCCGAAGCTTCTCAGCGCCATCTCCCTCTGAGAACTTCTTGGGACATTTGCCCAGGAACCGGAAGTTCTTCCCCAGGAAAAAGGCTCTGCAGCCCAAGTTGTGGGCTAGCAAGAAGCGGACCCAGTACTTCCACAGCTCGGCCTTCACCTGCCGGGTGAGACAAGGGTAGGGTTACAGCTTTGGAGTCATTTAGCTGGGTGTACATTCAGCAAGTAATTTTTGAGTAGCTACTCTGTGCTACCCCTGGGAAACTGACTTTCTAACTGGGGAGATAAACAAAGAGAAGTAAACAAAGACACATAGACATATTAGGTGAGAATGCTACTGTTAGGGCATTAAGCAGGACAACATGGAAAGGAGACAAAAACTTGAGTTACATTGTTCAGGAAAAGACTCTGCCAAGGTGGCATTTGAACTGAAACCTGCCTGACGGATAAGGGCCCCTGTGCGAAGATATGGAAGAAGCATCAGTGAGCGAAACAGAAGAGGGTTTTGCTATCAAGAAGCTTACACTCTGGTGGGAGGAGACAGCAATAAATATTTAAATCTAGAGTTGGGAGAGGAGAGGTTGAAAAGAAGTTGGAAACTCCACAACTCCTAAAGACAGGAGAAAACATCTATTCTGGCCTCTACCCCTCCTCTTTCAAGCCTTTTTCCAGGGATGCCAAAAGTGGGTTGGGGTTATGCAATCATATTAATACTTTAAAGTAATCATAGCTCCCAGGTGTTGAACCTTTACTGTGTGCTCAGCATGCCTGAGACAACACTATAAGGTAGGGATGGTTGTTGTTTCTATTTTACCAGTGAGGAAACTAAGGCTGAATGAGATGCAGTAGCCTGACTAGCTCACAGAACTCCCAAGTGAGTGAGCCAAGGTTAGAATTCAGATTGTTGAACTCCAAAGTTCAACCTTGTTTTCTCCATCACACTTTAATATTCCTAACATGGTCAGGGTCAGGGCTGGGTTCTGAACTTCCTTACACCCATCTCAACACCTCTTCCCATTGGTCTAAGCTGCCTCCTGTTCTCTCTACTGGAGACTCACAATACAAATTTGTCCCAACACATGCCTGTTATCACACATTCTCCCAAAGCACCATCAAATCAACAAAACCTCCAAGGGCAGTTGGAGTCCAGCCCAGCCTCACACAAAGCCATGATGGCAGCATGGAAATCATACCTCTCCATTGGCGAAACCAAACAGCAAGGCCACTAGGAATCCCTGAAACAAAAGGAAGACATGACATGAAATTTGCCTCAGTACAAAATGTGTCTGAGAATTACTGACAAAGTCCAAAAGCCTGCCTTAGTCTGGGGAGACTCCAGAAGAGGTGTGCAACTTCATTGCTTACACTAACCAGACCTAATCATACTGCTTACGTTAACTTGGATTTGCATGGTGTCCCTCCTTACTTCGACACACACCACCAACATCAGCATGGGTGTTTGCTTATGTTCTTGTAGGTACACATTGGTCAATGATTGAACCTCAAAGATTGCATGTCATTCATTCAACTCTACAGACACTGGCCAAAGCCATTGTTGCATTTCTGCTTATCCATGGTGGGCATTTGTGAGTGTGTGTGCCTGACTTGCAACCTTTCCTTTCAGAAACTGACCCTTGGTCAGCCTCGGTGGTTCAGCCTGTAATCCCAGCGCTTTGGGAGGCCAAGGTGAGGGGATTGCCTGAGCCTGCAGCTTTGAGGCCAGCCTGGGCAACTTGGCGAGACCTCGCCTCTACAATAAATAAAAAATTAGCCAGGTGTGGTAGCGTGTGCCTGTAGTTCTGGCTCCTTGGAAGGCTGAGGCGGAAGGATCGCCGGAGCCCAGTAGGTTGATGCTGGGGTGGCTGTGTGTGTGCCACTGCACTCCAGTCTGGGCAACGGAGCGAGATTCCACCTCAAAAAAAAAAAAAAAGAAAAAGAAAAGAAAAAGAAACTGACCCTCCCCTACTTCCTGAAAGTCTGGCAGGGCTGTCAGTCATGTGATTCTCAAGTTCTAGGATGGCCATCACATAATCATCAGCCCAAAATGAACTGGAATCAAAGATGCTTTAGTTAATGTTTGTTTCCATTGTCTTTCCCAGACTCCTATACTTCCTGATTTGTCAGACAATCACCACGACAACTTAACATGCCCTGACTTTCCCTAATCAATGTGAGGGCCTGTGGAATTTGGTCTATGTCTGAGATGTTGGAACTAGATATGTGTGTGGGACACAAGTACCTGAGTGTCTGTGGGAAAAATCTCATAGAAAGCCCAACTCACAAGGAAGGAGCACGTTTTCAACTAAAGGGGTAGCTCACTCCCCCCATATCTCTTGATAATAATGAAATGAGCCGGATGTGGTGGCTCTTGCCTGTAATCCCAGGACTTTGGGAGGCTAAGGCGAGAGGATTGCCTGAGTTCACAGGTTTGAGACCAGCCTGAGCAACAAGGTGAGACCTCATCTCCACAAGAAATAAATTTTTAAAAAAATTAGCTGAGTGTGGTAGCACACACCTGTAGTTCCAGCTACTTGGAAGGCTGAGGCAGAAGGATTGCCTGAGCCCAGCAGGTTGAGGCTGCAGTGGCCATGACAGAGTGAAACTCCCACTTTAAAAAAAAAAAAGAAAGAAAGAAAGAAATGTATCCCTGGAGAAGGCTTTTCTGCTCTTCCTTATGTAAGCCTTGTTTAGCATGTCCTTGTGGGAGCCAGGGCAGGATCTCTATGCTGGCAATCACGACACCAACCAAATGCTTAGATTCTGCCCATAAGTGTGGAATTTCCCTTCTCTTATGGCTATAGCTTCTAAACAGGGGTATGGTGGGATCAACTAATAATTTTCACACATGCAACCCTGTGAGAGATTCACAGTTGCCCTGTGTGGTTGGCAGGACAGGTAATACTTCCCTCCAGGCACATGATATCAGAAGAGCTGGTTTTCAGTGTGCCAGAATTCTCACAAACCAGTTAGCTAAAATAAGATTCCACATGACAAATGAGTGTGTCTTTTCACTTCCCCGTGTTCTTGCTTCACTGTTTTAGGAACATCCTAGAGCCTGATTTGCATTCTAGATTAAGCAAGTGTGAAGGGAATGGGTCCCACAGAACACATGGCTCTCACTTCATATGCCACCACCACTTGGCAGTCTCTCCAGAGTTCCATGGATAGTAGGAGGCTAGTAGAATTCTCTAAGGAGTAATTCCTTGGAAGCGTGAAGGGCCCTCCAAAGCAGAAAAGAAGGAAGCTGTGAGGCCTAAGGCCTATTCTACTGATATCCGTGGTAGAGTCACTAACCTGATCCACTGAATATGCTCCCACACATCCACCCACCTGTGCTCTCACCCTCTGCCTGGTAGGATAAAGGGGAACAGTGCAGGAGTATTCGGAAGGAGGGAGGCCTCTGCCAAAGCACAAGCTCTCTAAGTGTGTTTTCTGGCTCAATCCTGGTACAAAAAACCCTGCAGAGTCACATGGTTCCTCACATTTCTCAACAGTGCAAGATGGTGAGCAGAGCTCTCGCTGTCTGCAGGAACAAAGGATCCATGGTGATAGCTAGTCTTCAGAGACAGTCCTGATGACTTCTTCTCTCTGTAGGCTCATGCTGCTCCTCACATCAAGAAGTGGAAACTCTTTTCCCTCCCCTTGATCTGGGATGAACTTGAGACTCTTTTTACTGATACAATGTTGTAGAAGTGACATTCTGGGACTTCTGTGTCCATGTCTTAAGAGGCTGGAAGTTTCTGGTTCTTTTCTCTTAGAACATTTACTCTGAGATGCTCTGAAAGTCCAGCTGCCATCCTATGAGATACCCAAGATACAAGAAGAGGCCACATAGAAGAGAACTGAGGGTCCCTGATGGAGATAGTCTTAGTTGAGGTCCTGTCCAATAGTTAGCATCAATGCCCAGTCATGTGAATAAGCCATCTTGGATGTTCCAGCCCAGTCAAGCCTTCAGAAGTTTACAGCCCCAGTCAAAAATTACATGTATCAAAGGAACCACCCCTACTGAGCCCAGACAGTCCAGCCCACAGAATCATTAAAAATAATAAAATTGTTCTTACTTTAAACCATGAAGTTTTGGTGTGGTTTGTCACACAGCATTTGATGAACAGAACATCCTTCCATGTCAGCCTGTTGTTGCCCAGGCTGGAATACAGTGGCATGATGACAGGCTAAAATTTTTTTCTCAGAAGAACTCTGACTTACAGAGCTCCACACAAATGATTGGTCTTCACTTGGCATTGGGTGTGTGACATCAGGCGATCAAGGATTCACGTTGACTGATCATGCCCTCAAGGGACAAAAGACCATCTAATACTACTGACATAACAGCTGCAGGTTTTGGCTTTTGTTTTGTTTTCCCATTTAGGATTACCTTTTAAAGAAGATTAAGGCCAAGAACATAAAAAATCCAAATTACTAAACATTAGCTTTTAAAATTCTCCAAAAGATTGCATTAAATTAAATATGTTTTCATAATGAAAACTAAAATTACTGATGGATCCTCTGTCTTGGTTCAGTTCTTTCATCTTTAGAATAGGTATAATACTTTCTCCTTCATAGGAATATTGTGAGAATACGATGAGGTTGAATGTGTTTCATGTTAAACAGGTATTTTCTATTGTAGCATTTTAATTCCTTTTTTTCTTTTCTTTTTTTGTGAGTTAGAGTCTCTGTTGCCCAGGTTAGAATGCAGTGGCATGATCACAGCCACTACAGCCTTGACCTACTGGGCTCAAGAGATTCTTCTGTCTCAGTCTTGCAAGGAGCTGGGACTACAGGCTCACACCACCATGCCTAGCTAATTTTTTGATTTATTGTAGAGACTAGGTTTCACCATGTTATCCAGGCTGGTCTTGAGCCCCTGGGTTCAGGTAATTCTCTCGCCTTGCCCTCCCAAAGTGCTGGGATTACAGGCATGAGCCACTGCACCTGACTCCTTTGCTAGTATTGTTACTACATTTTTAAATGTTATTTTCTTACTGTTTATTTCAGAACTTACAACATACATTTTAACTTATTACAATCTGTTTCATATTAATACTTAATTCTGGCAAAATACAGAAATTTTCTCCAATATAGTTCTATTTACTCATTCCTCTCTTGTGATATTATTGTCACATATATTAGATCTTTATATGTAATAAATGTAATGTAATTTATAATTATTATTTTATACAAAGTTATATTTTTAAAATCAGTTAAGAAGAAAAAAGAAAATATCTATATATAACATTTCTTTTTTTTTTTCATTGTCCTCGGATAGAGGACATATCAGATATTAAACTGATTAGAACAGATACTACACATGATCTTTGCCAAAGGTTGAGAGGCAATAGCCTTTCATATTTACTTTTGTATCTAGCTTTTCTGATTTTTAAAAAATTATTTCTTCATATGGATTTGAGTTTCTGTCTGTTGTCATTTTCTTGCAGCCTCTAGGACTTCCTTTGATACTTCTCAAAAGGGGTGTTTACCAGCAATGAATTTTCTAAGTCTTTGTTTATATGGGAATGTCTTTATTTTACCTTCATTTTGAAATACAGTTTTGCTGGATCTAAAATTCCTGATTAACAAGTTCTTTTTTTCTTTTAGCATTTTGAATATGTCATACCTTTGCCTTCGGTCTCCATCGTTTTGATGAGTAGTCAGCTATTAACTATTATTGGTCCCCATATCTAATGAGCCATTTTCCTCTTGTTATTTTTAATACTTTCTCTTTATCTTGGGCTTTCAGCAGTTTATCGATAATGTTTCTAAATGTGAATTCCTTTGTTTTATGCTGTTTGGAGTTCATTAAGCTTCCTGGGTGTATAGATTAACATTTTTCATCAAATTTGGAAAATTTTCAACCAGTATTTCCAAATATTTCTTCTACTTCTTACTATATTTACTCTCCATCTGAGATTACCATATGTTTATGTTGACATTATTAATGGCATTCCAGAGGTCTCTGAAATGTCATTATTTTTCTCCATTCTTTTTTTTTTAATTGCTAAAACTGGATAATCTCAACTGACCTATCTTCAAGTTCATGGATCTTTTCTTCTGCCATATTAAATCTGAGATTTTCTAGTGAAAATTTCACTTTAGTTATTGTACTTTTCAAGTTCAGAATTTCCATTTCATTCTTATTTTATAATTTATCTCTTTGATTTGAGATTCTCTAATTGATAAATTATTGTTATCATACTTTCCTTTAATTCTTTAAACATGATATCCTTTAATTCCTTGAACATATTTATAATAGTTACTTTGAAGTCTTTGTCTGCTGAGTTCAGAGATTTTCTAGTGACTGCTTTTACTTTTCCTGAGTATAGGTTACATTTTTATGTTTCTTTGCATATCTCATAATTCTTTGAACAAAACTGGAAGTTTTCATAATATATTGTAACAACTCGGGATTCTGATTTCCCAGTCTCTACTCCTGGAGTGGTGGTGTTTGTTTAGTAACTTGTCTGAACTACCTGAGATATGGAATCTGTCTCTCTCCCCTGTGGTATACAGCCCCTGATGTCTGTGCTCATTTTTAAAATTTTGGTTTTTATTTTTAAGTCTGGTCTCCTGCTCCAGTTTACAATAGCTTAATGGCCAGCCAAGGACCAATCAGAAGTTGTTCTAAAACACCTTGCACACATAAGGCTTTCATATCCTTTGCCAATGTATCTGTGTGTCACTCGGGGACACATTCAAAGTTCAGTTTACAAGTCTTCCTCAGCTTTTCCTTTCTCCCAGACCCTCATGTCTCCTGTTATTTGTGTGCAGAAACTAATTCAGCCAGAGATGTGTGGATACCCTCTCTGATCGCCCTTGAGTGCGTAGGTAATCTTCCACATGTGCACAAACTTCCAATCCACTGATGAGATATGTAGGGACTTGACAAGGCCCACTATGGCTTTCTCATCCCTCAAATCTCCTTGTTAAATTTCTGCCCAGCCTACCAGTCTGTTTCTTGCCCCAAATAGGATTATACCCTCCAGCTGTAACACTGTCCTTCCCTTGTTTCTTTTTTTTCTTTTTTTTTTTCCTGAGTTGGAGTCTCACTCTGTCGCCCAGACTGGAGTGCAGTTGCTGCTCCCAGCCACTGCAGCCTCAACCTGCTGAGCTCCGGCGATCCTTCCACCTCAGCCTTCCAAGTAGCCGGAATTACAGACATGCGCTACCACGCCCGGCTGATTTTTTGATTTATTGTAGAGATGAAGTCTCGCTGCCCAGGCGGGTCTCGAACCCGCGGGCTCAGGCAATCCACTCACCTCAGCCTCCCAAAGGCGCGGGATTATAGGCTGAGCCACTGAGCCCGGCTTCCCTGTTTCTTTGTCATCAAGATCACTACTGTATCTGGTAGTGTCAGCTTTTTTGCCTTCAGATCCAAATCAAGTCAGCACCTCTCTGCAGTGAAGTTGTAGTTTTCACTAGAACTTCCTCACTGATGGAGCAGGGGTTGGAGAACAAAAGCAGTCCCAGACAAAAATGACATAGACTCCCACTGTTCTTAGTTGGGTTCAGTAATTTTTCTTTAATAAGCCTTTCATAATATTTTTATGTCTTTGGTTAATTCTAGGGTCCTAAAATGGTTGCTACTGACAATTGCCCAATTTTATCATTTCCTTTTGGAAAGAGGATTTGTCAAACTTCTCTTTCTTCCATTCCAGAAGTCCTGCCCTTTAAAGATGATTAATTCTAAGATTACTACTATATGGGGACTGTTGCTGTGTCTGTGCTGTTAGTGATAATCTGTTGCGTTAGAGGTGTTCGGTATGCATGTTCTCATGCAGTGCCCTCCCCTTCAATCTAGGTTGAGTCTGTGGCTTGCTTTAAACAGCAGGATGCAGCAGAAGCGTCACTGTGCCAATTTCAGGCCTATGTATTTTTTAAAGGCCTGGAAGCTCCTGCTTTTATGCTCTTGGGAGCCTTGAGCTGCTACATAAAGTGTCCAGATATCCTGTGGAAAAACCACAAAGGGGAGAACATATGGAATGCCAGAGGCCCTAAGTCTATATGGAAGGAAGGAATGTAGTTGACAGTGAGGAATGAGGCTCTAGAAATTTGACTCAAATAAAGCCAGCCCATCTCAGCTTAGACACCAGACATGTGAGTGAAGGAGCCAGCAGGCATCACAGAAGCAGAGGTAAGCCATCGCTACTGTGGTCTACCTAGAGTCCTACTTCCAGAATCATGAGGAATAGTATTTTTTTTAATTGCCATTTTAAGTTAATAAGCAATTAATACAACTTAAGCAATGCATAGCCAAAATATCCAGATAACAACCACAGCTGGCCTCTTATTCCTAGTTTCAGCCTCCATATATCTTTCAAGGCTTAAGTGCTCCTGAGTCTGGACTCATGAGTCCTTACCCAAGTTGTGTTATGTTCTGTGTATCTGTCACCAGAAGCACAGACAATGTTCATTTGCACAATGCTCTTTAGAGAACTCAGCAAAAATAGGTACTTAATAAAAGGCTTTAAGCTGACACTCAGTTAATATGATCATGAGTCACACCATCTATTATAGTCCAGGAAAGAGACCACTTTCCTCTTCTTAGTCACTGAGTGAAACTGGCAGGATCAAGGCAACACTTCCCCATCTGCATGTCCTTCTAATGCCAAGGGCCTTTACTGATAAAGCCTGCTGATGCTAGAATTCTATTTTTAACTGTGGGTTCTCTCAGTTCTGAGCCTGTTTGAACCACATGCATTTCTGTTTTCTCTCCAAAGTCAAGGCATCACGGTTCAGACTCCTACTTACATGGAAGGAGCCCAGTGTTAGCTGAATGAAAAGTCGTATCACTCTCGGAAATCCTTCAACTTGATCATCAGTGAGGAAAGAGAAGAGGATCTCATGAACACCCAATAAAGGAATGAGGACAAGCGTTGATTTTGCCAATCTGTAAACAACAACCAAGTAGGAGTCATGAGGGTCACATGGGGGAATAGGCAACATTTTCTGCTCTTTGATGCATGCCTTATTGCAACTCTTATCATATTGATAGTTGGTTTTCCAGCTGGTCTCCTTGACTACACAGTTAATGCTTAAGGGACATCATGGTCTTGTTCAAGGATACATTCCTCCACCTGACTCACGATAGATGCTTAGGAAACATGAGCTGAATGAATAAATGAATTCCCTCATGTACATTATCACATACCTACAGATCTTAATGTTTTGCCTGATAGACAGAGTCCCATGCAAGTGGCTGCCACCCTGGGATACTCCACCCCAATCAGGTTCGACAAGTTTTCTATTGCCTGGCTGACAGGTGCCTCTATCTCTTTCTCTATTCAGGACTTTCAACATCAGTTCTTTCAATATCACCCTAAGAAGGGAGAGAAAACGAATTGCCCAGGGTCACACAGACACTAAGTAGCAAATCCCAGCCTAGAAGTGGGACTTTCTGACTTAACACCAGGACCCTGCATATTCCCTACTGGGTGTTGCCATCAGCTCTCATGCTGCTCCTCAACCCTGGTGACAGCGAGGGTTGCAGGAAATGAAAAACTGATCCTCCTCATAAAAAGTGCTATGTGGAGGCTTGTTGGTGTATATGGACTACACAAAAAGACAAACATTCCTTTGGTACAAGGAATGTACGTGTAAAGTGCACAGCTGGGGCCCAAATGCTTCAGACTGGTGGTTCCCAAGCATGGCTATTAAAATTCCTTACAGAGTTTTTAAATTATATATAGCTTCTTGAGCTCCAGTGTCGAGTCCCTGAATCCAAACCTCTGAAGGTTGGATCCTAAGAATGTGGAATTTTCAAGGAATTCCCCATGAGATTCTGATAAGTAGACAGGTTTGGAAATGACTGCTTTTTACTTTTGAGGGACTTCTTGATTTAAAGCTAACTACGATAACAAAGGTGACTCACAGTCAGGGTACAAACAAAGCTACTGTGTCTTATACACATTGGGAATGAGGAACTTAATTGTAATGATTTTTTAAACCCAAGTCATTTCTCATAAAGGGTGAGATTAGGGGGAGGTTTCCCCCAAAATCCCATGGGGTTAAAGATGTAGAAACACAGTGTCATAGCAATTTATGGGCAATTTCTTAAGGAAGTGTTAATGCTATCCAAGAGAGTTTACCATGAATCCTGTGTCTGTGAGAGTCATTCAAATGTAATGTAATCAGTGAAACAAACAACCTCACCTTTGTGCCCTGAAAGGATCTAAAGCCAGGAAGAGGACAGCAGGAGCCTCCATAAAAAAAGGGCTCCACCTGGCCATGTGGCTGCATGGACCAGAGCCTTGATGGTCAAGAGAAGCCGATGGGAGGGGAGATGGACTCACAGGCCCTGGCTGTGTGGGTGTCCTGAGCTGTGTTCGTCCACCCCCACCCTCAACCCAGTGGAAGTCACTTTGCAACTGAGACTATTTCAAGGTTTGCTGTTGTTGTTGTTGTTGTTTTTAATTTCCAGGAGTGTTTTTAAAGCCCCATGGTCCATTATTAAGTGGAGATTTTTGGTGATATTTGATCTGCAGACGACTCTTGCACAGATCACAGAGTGATTTTTGCTATTGGAGCCTTCTTTAAATAAGAATAATATTTCCCGCAAAGCTGTCCAGGTTTCTAACTTCTTTTGAAAGAATAGGGATATCTGGCAAGACTGGTCCCCAATTCCTGCTTGGCAATCATTGGTTACAGCCAGGTGGTGGTTGTTCCTTTAAAGGGAACTCATGACCTCTAGCCCCCGCCCGATCTGTACTACTCACTGTGTTACTTGCTTGTCCTTTGCAAATGTTTGAATGTGTGACTCTTGTTCTTGTTTATTTGGGTTTTATTAATACAGATTTACATACTTACATGCAGACCTGTGTCTTACCATCAACTCATTCTGGGACCATGTTTGGTATTATGGTTTTTTAAAATAAACTTTTTATTTTTAAATAATTTTAGATTTGCAGAAAAGTAGCAAAGGTAGTACACAGAATGTCCACATACGCATCACTCAGCTTCCCCTAATGTTAACACATTATGTAACTGTAGCACAATTGTCAAAACTAAGAAATCAACACTGGTGCATTACCGTAACTAAATGCCAGACTTTACATGGATTTCCCACTAATGTCTCTTCATGTTCCAGGATCCCATGTTACATTTAGCATAGGGTGAGTTTTTTTTTTTCCTTTGAGCTGGAAGTCTCACTCTCTTGCCCAGGCTGGAGTGCACTGGTGTGATCATGACTCACTGCAGCCTAAGCCTCCTGGACTCAGGCAATCCTTTCGCCTCAGCCTCCTGAGTGGCTGGGACTACAAGTGCGCCAGCATACTCAGCTAATTTTCGACTTTTTTGTAGAGATGGAGTCTCCCTATGTTGCTCAGGCCGTTCTTGAACTCATGGGCTTAAGCAATCCTCCTGCCTCAACCTCTCCAAAGTGCTGGGATAGTATAGGACGCCTGACTAGTATAGGGCAATTTTTAAAGAATAGGGCAACCCCCTGGGGTTCCCCTCCCACTCTGGGACCTTTTCTGTCCTCTCAATAAATCCTGTTTCTGGCTGTTGCTTTGTTAAACTCTGCTGTCTCCACATGGATCTTTGAGCTATGGCTGCCATGTTTTCTTAGCTTTGGCCCCCTCCCCTACACTGGGGAGGTGAATCTCTCTCTCTCTCTCTAATTTACTTTCTAAACAAACTTTGCTTGAAAACTTAATAAATAAATAAATCCTGTTTCTAAATACAATAAAATACAATAATTAAAGAATGACTCCCTTTTTATGAAGTTTTGGGTCATCTGACCTTCTGGATGGGTTCAAGGAAGCATTCTCTACTCCTCACCTTACCCTGACTTCTCCTTAGAGTACTATTTGTGCCCCTGTTCAGATGAAAATCTATAAATAGCAATAGCAGTTTACTCTTATGAATGGTGTTTATCCTGATTTTCATCCATACCCATGTGTTTATTTAAATGATTCCGTTTATTGCAGTCATTTCACTATTCACCAAATATTTATTGAGCATCTGCTCTGGACCCATGAGGGAGTACCATGAAAATGAGGAGTTGTAGTCAAAGGCAGTAGAATGCAGGGAGAGTACAGGGGCCTGGGTTCAAATCCCAGTGTCACCAATTACTGGTGAAACGACTGTGGGCAAGTGATTTAACCTCTCTGTTAGTTTCCTCATCTGCAAAAAGAGGATTATATGAAGAATAGCATCTACCTGACAGAGCTGCTGTGAGGACTAAACAAATAACATGGGGGTAAAACCTCAGAATAAATAAGATCTGATACATGACAAGTGATCAGTAAATTTTATTTATCACTATTTGTAAAGAAGCCACGCTTGTCCTTAAGTTGCTTAAAACTTCAGTGATTTTGATCAATTTTACTTCCATGCGTGACATTTTCAGTCTTTGGTTGCTGGTGTGGTTCAGAACACACTACCCCAAAACATGGCACCTTGGCATTTTAAGCTGAAAGAATTTGAGAAAACTGTCGAAGCAGGAAGGTCTTTCTGACCTTCTCCCACCCTTCTTCCCTGAAGCAGGACATGAAACCTAGGAGGGATTTTTTTAATCTTCTCCTGAAGCAGGTCATAAAAACCTTCATGTGAAAGGTATCCTCTCTATATCTGAAGGAAAGAAATGTCCTTTTTTCAGAAGACATGGGGACACAGAAGACTGAACAAACAGGTCCTGGTACATTTGTACAAGTTTATTACCATTGGATCATACAGTTTTTGTCCAGTGATGTTTTTCCATGACAGTCTCACTTTTCATAAAATCCAGCATAAAAATACATAAATTTGACCATTTGGGGGATCTTTATTTCCTTATGAAGGCCCCCGTGTCACAGAAAACTTATGAAAATAAATGCGTATGCTTTTTCCCCTGCTAATCTATCTTTGTTTGATTTTTAGACACAGTCAGAAAACCTAAGAGGGTCAAGGAAAACCTTCCCTCCCCTACCTTGCTCACAAGAAAGACCTTTCAGATAGGACTGGGGTTTAGCATGCCAAGAAATGTTTCTCCTTTATAAATGCATTAAGAGCTCTGCTCCTATGCATCACATGGAGAGTTAAGAGCATTTATCCAGGGAAGAAGAACTGCCTCTGTGCTGGGAACCACAGAGAACAGAGAACTCCGACTGAGCTGTTCTTTGGCAGCGTTCCAAAGGCATTGCTTGCCCTGTTTATAGCCCTGAAGTTCCTCCTTCACACTTGGCTCAGTTTTCTCTCTCCAAGTCAGACAGATAGGCCAGTTACTGTTTTCTTTCCTTGATGGTGGAAGCCCAGGGAGGAAGGCTAAGACTGTAGAAGGTTCTCCAGCTCCTAGCAACTCGCCTCTTTGGCAGAGCCTAAGTGTGTTCAATTTAAACTTTCCTAAAATATAATCCTGGAGGGAGGCCAGATCAGGGTTACATTATGAAAGTTCCTCAAAATCTTTGAGAGTTGGAAGCAGTCTGTATCTACCGGAGTTTGGTTGAAATGCCCTGGGCCCCATCGTCCCCAACTCCTTAGCGCATTAGACGTATTTAAGGGAAAACAAACGTGGAGGGGGATGAGGAAGAGGGGCAACTTTCCAATTTGGGAGAGGACAGCGTGAGCTGAGGAGCTGAGAGGTGCTGGTGACCCATGGGGGTGACAGTGAGCAGCCTTCCTAGAACTTGGAAATAAGAGAATTAGCACTGCTTTCGGAGAGCAAAACAGGCAAGTGAGTTCATAGATGCTGTAGGACACCCCAGCGCAGGGAGTAGAGTAAAATGGCCTAGGTGTGTCCTGAGAGACAGGTCTCTGCCTGTTTGCTACTCATAAGCTAAGTGAATCAACTATATTGCACTCTACAGGGAGAAAGAGCGAGTAAACAGAAGTTGCCCACCAAAATGGCAGAGAAAAAAACACAAGAGAGAAGTTCTCGGTATTTATCCCACCCTGATCTGCAGAGGATGCACTGGTTCTGGGGAATGAGCTTCCTTCTCAATAGGTAGGTGGTACTGTTCAGGCCACCCTCAGGCATCCTTCAACACCAAGGACTCTTCACTGATGGCATAATCACTAAGCAACATTCCAGTGTCGTCTTTGAATTTCTAGTGCTGTGACTGGAAACTTTGGGAGGCGTGTGGGCACTAGAAAGGAATGCTCTACCGTGTCCCCACCTTCCACAGACATTTAAAATGAAAGACGGTCTAGTTTATATACATCAGCCTCTTGTGAGTTCAGTTGGCATCAGGTAGCCCTCCAAAGTCTCAGCTCAGATCAGTGACTTCCAAGTAGGTGTGCACACTCAGAAACACAGACCATCCTCAGGTGGTGGCACACTCACCGAAGTGAGGTGTCTCAAAGGAGGACTTTGAGCAGACGTACACCCAAGTTCCTCTTCTTGAGCATTTTCCTTAAGTGAAGAGGGGGAAGAGGAAAAACGAGTTTCCAGACAGTGTTATTCTTTCTACCCTTGAGGCAGCCAACCTGCTTAGCCATGAGGGTCTCTCTGGTATTTTGATATTTTGATTTATCCTTTCCCAGATCAGTGACTTCCAAGTAAGTGTGCACACTCCAGCGCTGTGCGAGACAATCTGCTTGACAGTAAAATAAAATATAAGCCAGGTGTGGTGGCTCACACCTGCAATCCCAGAACTTTGGGAGTCTGAGGCAGGAGAATCGTTTGAGCCCAGAAGTTTGAAACCAACTGAACAATATAGTGAGACCTCATCTCTACCAAAAATGAAAACATTAGCTAGCAATGGTGGCGTGCACCTGTAGTTTCAGCTATGCAGAAAGCTGAGCAGAAGGATTGCCTGAACCCAGGAGGTCAAGCCTGCGGTGAGCCATGATTATGAACTCTAACATGGATGACAGAGTGAGACCCTAACATACACAAAAAATTTTAAAATATAGAATAATAGAAGTTCTACCTATATCAGTTTTTATCTATCCTTTTACATTTTCCATTTTTAGTGTATCTTATAATGTATTTATTAGTGCATTAGATCATGCACACATACTGATAGAAACACATGAGCAGACAAGTTTGGAAACCACTATCTTGAATAGAGGGGGCTCTAGAAAAGAGAATATTGAGACTGCATTACATTTGTCGTGGCCAGATCAGAAATTTCCATATATCATTTGATTAAGTATCTGATCCAGTGATCCTCCGCTCTGGCTGTTTGTCAGAATCTCCTGGGGACCCTGTAGGGTTCCCTCTCACACTTACTGAGCCAGTACAGCTCACATGGCTGTACTTTTGACCGACTTGCAGGGGATGCCTACAATGGAAAACTATTATAAGGGTGGCTTCAGGTCTGGGGCCTGGGGAAGGTCCTGGGGGTCCACGTTAGGCTTTGAGGGCACCGTTGGGATTTGTCTGCTCCTTGTTTCTCTCTCCCTGGAGCACTAGCCTCTGTCCTGTTTCTGGGGCATCTTGGTTTTCCTGGCATCTGGTTATTGAGAGGACTGTCCTCCCTAAATGGACCCAGGCAGGGTGAACTAGAGCAGGCGTGGAGCTCCACCCTCAGAGAGAGGCCAAGTCTTGGGAAAGGGGCCAAAGAGGCTGCTCGGCCACTTGGAGGCTCGACTGGAGGCGCCAAGAGAGACAGTGTGGCTCCCTAAGGCCCAGGCCAGACTAGTTCCCCAGGGCTGGGGTTTTCTGTAAAATGTTTAGGCCAAAGCCCCAACGAGCAACTATGGTATATATTTGCCCAGTCCGGGTATGTTTATCCTTCTAGACCTCCTGGAGAGAGGATTTTAGGAAGATAAGATTTGGGATCTGGATCCAAAGCAAATACTGCTCACCACATCTGATTCAGATTGGGCCACCCATATCTACCACCTCCATGAATCCTCATAACAAGCAGGAGTTGGGTCTGCCGCGACATTCCGCTTATACACACCAGGAAGCAGACCAAGGAGGCCAAGTCACTTGACTTAGGCCAGTCAGCGAGTTCAGGTCATGGCCAGCACCCTCCCTTCCAACTCCTACTCGACAATAACACCCCAGTCCTTAGTGAAGTAGAACACATGGGCCTTGAAGACAGGGTCCACATCATCATATTTGCCCTCTGCTCCCACCACAATGCCAGGTACATTGTAGACATTAAATGTTTGTCAGATAAATGAAAAAATTACCTTCCCAGCACTGGAGTCAGGCTTAGAAAAGATGAGAGACAGGGCTGGGGCCATCTTTACCCATGCTCTCTTCCTCTGGCGTGCTGTGTGGACTACAATGCTTATCCTTGTAGCTTCTCTGTGGGCTAAAATACTCCCTCCCCAAGAGCCCTGCTGTCTGCACATACCATGTAGAAAGCAAAGAACAACTGGGAAAGGACAGAGGGAGTGTTATTTCTCACTCACTCGCTCATTCGTTCGTTTGTACAGAAACAGAGATCCATCAAGAGCCTATGATCTGATTTACTGTGAAATGGGACTGCTGTCATCACAGAAAGAAGGTGAGATGCAGAAAAGGCAAGTCAAAGGATGACGGTGTGAAGAATGTATTTTCTTAGGCTCTCAAAGTGTATGGTCTTATTTCTCAAGGTCTCAAAAATACCCACATACTCTCCTCTGAGTTACGAATGGCTTTTATTCAGTTGCCTCAAATGTTCCCTCAAGGAAGGCAGCTGTTAAACTTCCCTTCAGACAAGTCTTTCCTTTCCCCATAAATCACCCATTCTTAGGAACATTTTGATAGTGTTTTGCTGAGGGAATGTGTGTGCCCTTGACTACTCACCACTTACCTCATTTCACTCACCTCATCAGAAGGTCCTCCTCATTGACAAAAGTCTCACATCATCCTAAAACACCTTTTCCAGAGGACTTTCCCTGACTCCCTCACCTTTGGAATAAATGTACCAATGCAAGTTGTTCCTCCCTTCCCGGGACATTAAGTACAACAGCCAAAAGGAGTCTAACTAACCTTGGGCTGCTGAGTACCGAACTAAGGCCACTTACCTGTATTTGTAATCTCTGAAGCACATTTGGTGGGCTTTGAGCTTAGAAATGAGAAGCCTGAGGATTTTCAGGAAGATGAAAAAATTGACCTTGGGGAAAAAAAAAAGCAGATGTGAGTAAGTAAGTGATGGGCTCCACATAGCTGTGGATGTCAAGATTATTCCAGGGTTGGCCATCAGTTCCTTGTCTGTGTAAACCAGGGGCAATTTGGCAGTTAGCTGGTCAGGTAATAAGTTCTTAACAATAATCTTCACTGTCCTGAAGGTCATCTGAACTGAAAGTCTGGAAGGGATCTCGGAAAATTATTGATTTTATCCTCTGCCTCAGGAAGACCCACCACTAAAGCCATCTGAGAAAGACGAATGGACGTTTACATTACTATTATTATTATTATTACTATTGTTATTATTAACTAACATTTACTGAGTACTTATCATATCATGCTTCGGGTTAAGAACTTTCCGTATATTATTTTACTTAATCTTCACAACCTCCCCAACCAAAGTAGCCACAACTATTTTTATCCCCATAATACAATGAGGAAATAGGCACAGATGAGGTAAGCATAATTCTTAGGTTGCACAGCTAGCCAATGACTAATCCAATAATTAAGCCCAAATTTATCTGATTACAACTCTCCTTTCACTTAAATAGAATGCCACTCTGCCTCTCTCCCATAAAGAATTCTAGTCCTATTGATACCTAGCTTGAGTTGTGTTGCTGCCATGGAATTCACTGGACTGCATATGTTTTGTTTTGTTTTGTTTTTGAGTTGGAGTCTCACTCTGTCGCCCAGACTGGAGTGCAGTGTCCGCTCCCGGTCACCGCAGCCTCGATCTGCTGGGCTCCGGAGATCCTTCCGCCTCAGCCTTCCAAGTAACTGGAACTACAGGCGCGTACTACCACGCCCGGCTAATTTTTTATTTATTGTAGAGATGAGATCTCGCCAAGTTGCCCAGGCGGGTCTCGAACCCGCAGGCTCAGGCAATCCACTCACCTCACCCTCCCAAAGGCGTGGAATTACAGGCTGAGCCACCGAGCCTGGCTCATTGGACTGTATATGTTCTCCATTCCCTAGAACACTTTCCATGACTCTCATGTATTGGGAAAATCCAGTCCTTCATTATCAGCCTTGATAGAAATTTTAATACATGTCCCTGAAAATTCCTGGGCACTTATCCCTTCAAAAAGGCAGGGTTTAATTCCCTCCCCACCCCACCCCCACCCACCCTTCCCCTCTGAAGCTGAGCTAGACTTAATTACTTGCATCCAATGAAAAGAGTATGGTGGAAATGATGCTATGTGATTTCTGTTCTGGGTCCTAAAAAGATGGCTTCGATCTCTCTCTCTCTCTCTCTCTGAAATGATGTTATGTGATTTCTGTGCTAGGTCCTAAAAGGATGACTTCTACCTCTTTCTCTCTTCTCTCTTCTCTTTCTCTCTCTCATTGCTCACACCAAGGAAAGCCACCCACCATGTTTTAAAGACACTCAAGAAACCTGTGGAGAGAACCATGTGGAAGAACTGAGTACTCCTACCAACACCCAGCACCACTCACCAGACATGTATGTATGTCACCTTGGGAACTGATCAGTCAAGCCTTCAGATGGCTGCAGCCCTGGCGGACAAATTGACTGCAACTTCATGAGAGATCATGAGCCTCCTGGAAGTGTTGGAAAGCAAGTGATTGAGGGTGGGTAGGGCTTGGAAAACAAGAAAGGGCTGTGAGAAGTGAGACTTGAGAGGTAGGGATGGCCAGTTCCCACAGGGCCTTTTATGGCTCTGCTGAGTAAGGAGTTTGGGTTTTCTTCTAAAAGCAATGGTAAGCCCCGATGATAAATTTTAAGCAGGCAAATGTCCTGACTAGATTTACTCCTTTGTGTTTCAGAGAAATCATTTTAGCAGCAGTATGGAGAATGGACTGAGGACAAGACTGGAGGAGGAGAGACCAGTCAGGGGTAGTTTCAGAGCTGGGGAGGATAACGGAAAGAGATCATCATCACCAGCCCTAGTGCAATGATGGAGAGGAAGGGACAGACTTAAAATGGTTAAGAAGTTTGAGTCAAATAACCTTTGTTACTAATAGGATGTGAGGTCAGAGATGACCCCCCGTCTCAGACTAGATCTCAAATATGTGGTAGTGCCATTCACCAAGAAAGGGAACATCCGGAAGAAGAAGAGCACCGGGTGGGGGAAGATAAGGAGTCCGGTGGTTTTCAACACAAGAACTGTCCCAAGGCAATTAAATATTTATGTCTAGATCTCAGCAGAGAGACCTCAGCTAGAGCATGAAGCCATTGGAGTAGGTGAGATTATCCAGGGAGACTGTGTAGACTGGGAGAGAAAGACGTTTAAGATAATTGCCTTGCAACAAAGGGAAGGGTAGAGGAAGTGGAGACAACAAAGGCAATTGAGAAAGAGAAGCCAAAATGGTGGTGTGTGCCTGTAATTCCTGCTACTCAGGAGGCTGAGATGGGAGAATCACTTGAGCCCAGGAGTTGGAAATCAACTTGGGCAACATATTGAGATCCCCCTCTATAAAGTAAATAAGTAAGAGTAGCTAGGGCAGTTGAAATGAGCCACACAGAAGGGGCATCCTGGAAGCCCACGAAAGAAAGAATTTTAAGAAGGTTTAATGCTACATAGAATTTAAGCAAAACAAACTGCATTTAGCAGCAAGAAACTGACTCAGAGAAACTGCAGTGCAGAAGTGTGAGCACAAGCTGGAATCCAATGCTTTGCTTTGTGACTAAAACGTGAAGAAGAGAGACAGTGTAGATAACACCGAAGGGGCTTGGCTGTGAAGGGAAGCAGAGTGACAGAACAGTAGCTGAAAGGAATACACAATGGAGATAATGTCTCCTCACTTTTATTTGGAGGGCTAAAAGAGATTTTTGGTTGCAACTGCTTTTAAGATTGAAAAGACCTAAAAATGCTTCTAAGCAATGGAGAAGGTGCTGAGAGACAGGGCAATCAGGTGACAATTAATGGAATAAAGTATCTACAGACATTGAGCCAGCATGGTACTAATGTCCCTGTCTAGAAATAAAATCCTTTAACTGCCTATGAGAACACAAGCTATAGAATCCAATATGTGCCTATTATTGCTTGTTTTTTTTTTTGGCCTCAGGAGAATCCATACTCAACGTTAAAAGGCTAGAGTTTCAGGCAAGAAGATATTTATCCAACCCTAAGCCAACAGGAATGATGGCAGTTCCCAGCCAAAAAATATTTAGTAACAAAAAATTTAAATACAAGCTAAATGTAACCAAGTAATTTATCTCTTTTAATGGGATATCTGCTTTTCATCATAAAGAGAAAATCTTGTGTTCTTGGCTTAATGTTTTGTTGAACACAGGCATTTTTCTTACAAAGTAAGCTTAAGAGGGAGAAAGGCACATATTTCAGCAAATTAGTTTCAATCAGGACTCTCTCCTAGGAAATGAAGGGTTTTTATGAGGAGCATGTTCATTTGCAATTCATTGTGCCTTCCAGAGACCAGACAAGAGAAAATGGGTACCAACCAACGGGCCATATGGAAGAAGCACTTCCTTACTGCCATGGATGAAACACCACCCTGGGGTACCATGGAACCTCTGTTCATCTGGGTTTCTGAGAAGACAAGAGTCAGTAAGCACATTGGATGGTGCTATTCATTTGTACACAAGCCGGAAAGCTCAGTGGAGAAATTTTTCAAGAACTCAGTCAGAATCCTTTAGGATTCTGTGACTAGATGCGGGCCACATAGGACACTAAATCTATGAGTTTGCCTTCCAAGTCCTAGATAGTACAGATGCATTCTCAGATGTAACATTTTGGTGACACTTTTTTGATCCCAGCTTCCATGCACAGATCTACAGGTTGGCAGAGATGATTGCTTGCTTGGAGGGAGCTCAGAGGTAGGCCTCATCTACCCTTAAACTATTCTGTCTATCCTCAAGTCTCTCCTTCTCTGGTCTGCTGCATAGACTAAAATGACTACATTTTGAGCTACTCCTTTGGGTCAAAATGCTCCCTCCTCTAGACCCCTGCTGCAATAGAAGGTACGGAATGGTTGGGAAATTCGGGAGGAAGCCCTTTCTCTCACTCATTCATTTTTGCAATAATGAAGACTTTAATAAATACTTATGATTTTTATCATGGAAATCAGAGGATAGGGTGCAACAAAGATGAGTTTTAATGGAGTGGGAAAACTCAGGGTATGGAGAAATTCCACTGTAAGTCTTCAGAAGAGGAGAGCATTGGAATGAGAAGATGACTTGGAAAACCGGAGCAGCAGAAAGCCCCTGGGTTTCTGAGGGGGCAGAGAACCCAAAGAGGGACAAAGCCAGTAAGGACTAATTTTACCAATTTCTCAGCTTTGTCAAGTGCTGAGGTTATCAGAGAAGATTCAACAAAAGTTAATAAAAGCTTCTTTTGGAATTAAAAAAAAAATTTAGATTCAGGGGATACACATACATATTCATTACATGGACATATTGTATAGTGGTGGGGATTGGGTCTCAGGTGGCCCATTCCCCAGATAGTGAATATTATGTCCTGTAGGCAGTTTCTGAACCCTAGTTTCCCTCCTCTCTGCCCCCTTATTAGTGTCCCCAGTGTCTATTATTTCCGTTCTTGTGACCGTTTGGCTCCCACATATGAATGAGAACATGCAGCATTTGGTTTTCTGTTTCTGAGTCAGTTTACTTAGGATGAGTGATCTCTGGCTCCATCCATATTGCTACAAAGAACATGATTTCATTCTTTTTTATGGTTGTGTAGTATTTTGTGGTGTATATATACCACAATTTCATTATTCACTGATCAGTTGATGGGCATTTAGGTTGACTCCACATCTTTGCAATTTGTGAATTGTGCTGCGATGAAAATGCAGGTGCAAGTGTCTTTGTTATAAAACAACCTCTGTTCCTTAGGGTAGATACCTAGTAGTGGAATTGCTGGATCAAATGGTAGGTCTACTTTTGTTCTTTGAAGTAATCTCCATACCACTTTTCATAGAGGTTGTGCTAATTCATAGAGGTTGTACTTCCACTAATAGTGCCTAAGTGTTCCCTTTTCTCCGCATCTGTACCAGCATCTACTGTTT